CACTCAACTGTTTCTAGTTTATGTTGCAGTCCAAATGGCTTTTGTTCCACTTAGCTGACTATCTATGCCATGACTTACTGTGGATGCAGCCCTGGACCTCCTAGTTCTCATCTGCTCCCTCCCAACTTGCCTCACCATCTCTTCCCTTAGCATGTGTTTTCCCTATCGCTATAGTCAAATTTAGCTGAGATCCTTTCAGTATGGCACTGGTTGATAGGCTATGCTTTCTGAAGATCAGCCTACCTACCTAAGTATAGAAAGGTAAAAGAAAAGTTTCATCCACTATAAAATGGCAGACAAGAATTTTTACCCATGTCAGGAAGTTGGATAGTGGACAAATGTGAGAAGAAAGGGATGAAGGACAACCAAATAATTCAAGCTATGTAATAGGTATGAAGCTCTTCCTACAGTGGAGGAAGGGTTCTTCGATCATCTCTGGGATAACCATCTTTCTGGACTTCAAGGAATAACATGACATTGTGAATGCACAGGTTTGTTACTGTTTTGTCAGTTAATTGTGTTTGATTCTTTGTGACCCCATTTGGGGTTTTCTTGGCAAAGATACTGGAGTGGTTTACCATTTCCTTTTCCAGCTCATTTTACAGATGAGGAAACTGAGACAAACAGGGTGAAGTGACTTTCTAAAGGTCAAACACCTAGTGAGGCCAAATTTAAACTCAGCTCCTCCTAACTTCAGGGCCAACATTTTATCCACAGTGTCACCTAGCTTCCTGTAAAACATCATCTGATAATGGTCAGAGGAAGAAGAAAAGTACACTAGTGTTGGTGACAACCCACAGAAAAATGTTTAGATAGCTCTCTAGACCTTTTGTAAATAACAGAGAGGTTTGAGGTCTTCCTGGGCCTGTGCTAGAACATAGGGGAGAGCCTGCCAAGAACTCTTAAATCTAATGATCCATACCTACTTCCAGGGATTCATGCTGGGACCAATGCCACCAACAGAATGAATCCAGAAAGCAATCTAAGGAGTATAAAGGTCTGAGGGAAAGCCCTGAAGACTGAAGGCATAAATAGTGTTTTTAATACTGCCTATCAAAGGTAAATTCAAAAGAGAAAGGCAGCTCTGGGAAATGAACAGCTGGTTAAGAAGATAGTTTCAAAGAACAGGATTTGAATTTATGGACCACAACTTAAAACATTTAGAATGGTGAATTCTTGGCAAAGGCTGGTAAAAAGTAATAATAATAATAAATTTCCTGGAGTCTTACAAGTCTCATGAGAAGGTTTTAAACTGAAAAGGAAGGGGCAAAGAGAAAACTACCCCCATAGACCTCACAAACCTGCTACCACAGGGAGCAGTAAGTGTATCAAAGAAGAAACAGCAGCAAAAGAGAGGACCATACATCACAGGAGACAAGAAGGGAATCCACAATAAAACCCATACCATCAGATATCTGTCTGCCATTGCACAGTAAAGTGAGTAATGAATGGGATGAGCTAGAGATCGTAAAGCAAGGAGGAAGCTTTGACCTCATGGGGTATCACTGAGAGTGGGTGAGATAGGACTTGGGCTTAGATTTGGCACTAGGAAGTTATAACTTTTTGAAAGAAATAAAATAGATAAAGGGTGAAGTTGCATTATTAAGAATATGTATTTTTCTGGAATGGACCTCTCATTGAGGAAACTCCACCGATGAAGATGATCAACACATGTCCTATAACTTATAACCTTGAAAGTTCCCTGAAAAGTTAAGTGACTTATCCAGGATCACACAGCCATATGTATCAGAGGCAGGATCTGCAACCAGGTCTACACACACACACACACACACACACACACACACACACACACACACAACCTTTCTCTCTCTCTCTCTCTCTCTTCCCCTCTCTCTCTCTCTCTCTTCCCCTCTCTCCCAAACATAATCCATACAGCTGCCAAGGTGATATTTCAAAGGCACAGGTCTGGCCATGTCACTGCCTCTCTCAAGCTCCCTATTGCCTGTAGGATAAAATATAAAAAATTTTTTTTTGCTATTTAAAGCCTTTCACCTTTTCTCAGCCTGCTTTTTCAGGCTTATAACATAGCATTCCCATTGCCATACTATCATCTAATCAAACTGGCCTGCTTGATACATAGCGATAGATATAGACACTTATGTGTGTATATATGTGTATATATATATATATATATATATAGACATATGTGTGTGTGTATATAGATAGGTATACACACACACACACACACACACAAACAATGTTATTGTTTAGTCATATCTGACTCTTTATGACCTCATGGACCATACTGCCTATGTGGCTTTCTTGGCAAAGATGTTAGAGTGGTTTACTATTTCCTTCTGCAGTTCATTTTACAGATGATGAAACTGAGGCAAACAGGGTTAAGTGACTTGCCCATAGTCACATAACTAGTAAGTGTCTAAGCCCAGATTAGAACTCACAAACATGTGTTGGACATAACCAATCAACTGAACAACAACAAATGTCTGTCTATATGTATTTGGGCAGTTTGGCGATTCAGTGGATTGAGTACCAGACCTGGAGTCGGGAAGATCCGAGTTCAAATCCAGCCTCAGACACTAACTAGCTGTGTGACCCTAGGCAAGTTACTTCACCTTATTTGCCTCAGTTTCCTCACCTGTAAAATGAGCTGAAGAAGGAAATGGCAAACCATTATAGTATCTTTGCCAAGAAAACCCCAAATGGGGTCACAAAGAGTCAAACACAACTAAAACAACTGTGTGTGTATACACACACATGCATACATATGTACACATATGCACACATGTGCACATATGCCCAAGATATGCATGTGCACACATGTGCATACATATATACACATGGGTACATACACATGCCTATAAACATATACACACCTGTATACATACACACACCCATATCCATACACATACACACACCCACACTCACCCCCCTAGGTACATACAAACACATAGGTACATACATACACACCTATATACATATATACACATCTATATGTACACATATACATACATATATTTAAATGAACAAATATAATAATCTGCTTCACTAAGAATTAGAGGCATTACAACAATGGGGAAGTACATAGTTTTTGTTAAGTGGGAGTGGGAGGAAAGGATTATGAGACTCTGAGCTGGAAAGGTCCTTAGCAATCACTGAACCCAATCCCCTAATTTTACTGTAAAAGGTGGCCCTGTCTGCAGCCAGAATCATGCTGATCACTCAGCACTCCATCCCTTACTGTCATCCTTGGCATCTTTTGACGAAGAATGTGTGGGTCAAACATGTTCCATGACTCCACCCCTCCCTATGGACCCCTCCTATCCCTGGTTGCCTTTTGTAGCTCCCTCATATATCTGCTTGGCCTATTTCCTACATTTAAGTGCTTATGTGAAAAATTATACTTCTCATTACTGAACAAAGGCTATTTTTTCATGCTTCAAAGCTCAGAAATTAGTTTAAGAGAATCAGGGGCTAAAAGCACTGTTCCGATTAAAAAATGAAAAGAAATATCTCATGGGCCTTATTGCTCAACAAGTGACTTTACTTAAAAACTTTATCACAGTAACTGGTTTCTGCCATTTTTTTTTTTTACATATGTATGTGTATGTATAGATGTATATTCTGAATGTTCTCAAAGTCTTAGTGAACTATTAAAAACTTTAAACTGCACTAAGTCTTTTGGGATGCCCTGAAAATACATACCTGCAGATATACACAAATATTAATCAGTATCAGTAAGGGAATCAGTAAGGAGCAGATTTTACTGGTGTAGGGAGCTCCCTGGTGAGGAAAGTCCTTCTATCAGTGTATGTTGCTGACTTGATAGTCTTAGAGATTAAGTGACACAGACAGGGTAATACCATTACCCTATTACAGTAGATAGAGTGCCAGGTCTGGAGTCAGGAAGATTCATCTTCCTGAATTCAAATCTGGCCTCAGATACTTATTAGCTGTGTGACCCTCAGCAAGTCACTTCACCCTGTTTGCCTCAGTTTCCTTGTCTGTCAAATGAGCTGGAGAAGGAAATGGCAAACCACTCCAGTGTCTCTGCCAAGAAAGTCCCAAATGGGGTCATGAAGAGTTGGATACTACTGAAAAGACTGAACAACAACACAGGGTAACACAGCCAATGTGTTTCAAAAGCAGGGCTTGAACCACGGCATTCTTGACCTCAAGACCAGCTCTCTACCTCTGCCATATATATTATATACATGTATGTATCATGGATCCATCTTCTTACTGGGTAATGCCCCCTCTCATTAACTAATCATGCTCCACCCACAAGGATATCCCTTTTTGTTTAAGAAATAACTATCTCTGATGCTTACTAACCGGGTGACCTTCAGGAAGTCACTTAGGCCTCAGTTTCCCCATATGTAAAATGAGGGTATTGAACTAGATGGCCTCCGAGGATACCTCCAAATCTAGACCTATACTGTGCATGCCAACCCCCTTGCTTGCTAAATGCCCAGTTAAACCTTGTTTGCCTCAGTTTCCTCATCCGTAAAATGAGCTGTCCTGTTCTGCTTTGAAATCATCTTTGTTTCTACAGCTGTGACTTTGCAGAGATATAGGGGGAGATAGTTCTGCCTCTAGATATTGCTTCCAACAACTACTGGAAGAAAAATTCTGAAACATCTTGTAAGTTAATATGTATCTACACATTCTGCTTTGCCAAATAGTCTCCTTTATTATAAGTATTTATTGGTGAAGCAGCAAGTATTTCAAAACTCCTTTTGTTTGTTTAAAGCCACTCCCTTTCACCATTCCCCTCCTCCCTTCTGAGAAATAGGTTTGTTTGAAGACGCCTACCTAGAAGAGGAAATCCTTTCCTGCAAGAAGGAGCAGAGTTTTTAAAGTTTTAAAGTTTTAAAGACTATTTACTTTTCAAAAGTAAAGACAACCATGGCTATTTGTGTTAGATAGAAAAAAAAAACATACTTCCTATAAGATTTAATAATGCAAAAAAAATGATAAAATAATGCTTTTATTGATTTCTGTTTTTTCTTCCCCCTCAGATGTTTTGTCTCTCTCATGATGGATAATTCTTTTTTGGATGTGGGGAGCATAGAAAGGGTCTGATTTCTGATGAAACTCCTGCTCAGGTACCCAACGAGAGCAACCCAGGGGCCCCAGCTATGACAAGAAACGAGGCCAAACCAGTATCCAGTCAGCCCCAACCTGGTGTCCAGGTAGCCTGGGCCTGAACTACAACAGGAAACAACACCAGGAAATTCATGAAGAAAGTAGGACCTTGTCTTAGCTGCTGAACTCAGGATCAAGCAGAGTCTGCCTATATCATCTAGGAGTCCAGGAACTGAGTTTCACCCAAGCAGAAGAACCAATATAAAAACTGAGACTAGATGTAAGAGGAAACAGAAGAAAACACCAATCACAATGAAGAAATACCTTGGACTGAGAGATGCCCAAAGGGTAAACCTAGAAGAGAAGTTGAGACAAAACTTCAGAGAAAAGAATGTCCTTGCCACAAAGATTACAAGAGCACCAGGAAGAAATGAAACAAGATACAAAATGGGATAGCTGGGGAAGAAAAATGTCAAGGAAAGCTAATACCATAGAACAGATAGTAGTAAGCTTTACCCAAGAATTTAACTCCTTAAAAATTAGAATGGGTCAAACAGAACACATGGACTCTGTGAGAAAGACATCTAGAAATATTCAAACAAAATCAAAAGATTGAAAACAGGGAAGAAAATGTCTGATCTGGATACAGGTCAAGGAGAGATAATCTTAAGAATCATTGGACAACCTGAAAATTATGACCAAAGCCTTCTTGGTTTGGAATTGCTAAAGTAGATCTAGAAATTTTACAAAGAGGTATGAATAAACTTTGGTATTTTGTTCATATCAAATTATCTCAAATAGAATTAGAAACTGCTTGAACTGGATGATTTTAGCACCTCTTTTAATAATTCTTTTGTTCTCACTTCCCTGAGATTCCTAAGGCAAAGTTTAGCCTCTGACTCCTGAGGTACAGATTTTAGAAGTTGGAAAAACTGATAAAACTGATAAAATATAGCTGGCTACATCAGAGATGAGACTTTTTTTTTGTACGTAAGGGAGATGTGGGACACTGTTTTGCTGCTGTAATTCTACAAGTTCAGCCTACAAATTGGTCTTTGTTGGGTCTGGGTCACCAGTTGCCACAGGACCACAGGACAGAAAAGGATACTTCTCAGGCAGGGAAGCACTGAGAGAACCAGTACTCATGATCTTAGCTTCACCATCCATGACCGGTCATTTGTGACTTCAATCTCCTTCAATAAATTGGCTCCAGATATATATGTTTTGTGCATGAGCTATCTTTCCTTTCCCTGGTGTGGCTTCCGTGGCTTGCCACAGAATCAACCAATTAAGAAGCCATTTGATTCCAAATGGTGAGGAAAATGGAGAGCAGAGCTTGATCACCTCTACTGCCTCACACAAGTCCCCTTCCACAAGTCCCAAACTGAGACACAGATCGAGTGTTGTTTTAGTCATTCACTGCCTAATTGGTCATGGCTAAGCAACAGTTTAATTATGTTAGATTCAATCTTAGTAATATTCAAAATCAATAGACATATCACAGAGCACAACATTCCACCCACTTCACAGCTCTGATTCCCCCAAGGCAGAAAACCAATTAAGGTTAGAGTTTAGTCCTTCCCCCTCCAGCTTCCCAAACTGAGAGCAGAAAAAATCAGGAACTTCACTTGCTCAATTTGCGTCTCTCATCTCCAATCTCCAGAGATACAGAGGGAGGACAAAAGTCACCACCCATACCAAAGAAGCAGGCAGATAGCTTCACATGGGATGATCAGTCACACTCAGTAATGACCAGGCTAGATATTCAGCTTTTCTGCCAGGTGGGGTGTTGCTTTCATGGATGCTGCAAGATCAGGATTGCCACCTCTATTGTCTGGCTTATACATCTGTTTATTGCTGCAACCTCAGCACTCAAAAGGTAGGGAGTTCAAATGCCTCAGAGGCTAACCCCAATAGGATACCACCTTTCCATCATTCATAAATTCTGATGGCAGAGGGACAGACATAACTCTGTGCTGGCCCTAGTTACCATCTCTGTCTCTCTCTCTCTCTCTCTCTCTCTCTCTCTCTGTCTCTGTCTCTCTCTCTCTGTCTCTCTCTCTGTCCCTCTCCCTCCCAACAAATTTGCACTTATGACCCTGTATCTTTTGTCACAGTCCTAAACAAGTCAACTCCTCCAATTGAACTTTACCCTGAAGTAGCATCACCTCTGACTGTCTGATGCTCCCTCCCTGCCCCCACCAGTCCATCTCTTCCTGAAGCATAGTAAGCAATAATACAGCAGGATATTATAACTGTCAGTAGAGAAGAGCCCTCTCTGCATAACAAGGGAGAAAATGGAAGCTCATAGAGGCTAGGTGCTTTGTCTAAGATCAAACAAGTTCATCCAGCTCCAAACTCCACTATATAACACATTGATTAGAGTTAGAGTTATTATTAAAATGAATCTGGCTCCTTCACTTACAATTACTTGTTGAACTGAATTACCCAGCAAGCATGACAAGGAAAACAGAAGATGCCTCTCAGCTGTTCAGTTACATTTGTTATCAAGTGGCATGTGAATGACTTATGGTGCTCTTTTTCAGTTCCTCTTTGAAAACTTTTGAGGAAATGAAATGCCATAGCAGACACCTCTGGCACGTAAACTACAACTTCAAGAATCTGTGTTTTCCTCAACATGGGTCTTCTTTCCACTGACTCAGAATGATCCTTGAGAGCTGCTGTCAGTGAAAAATTCAGCACTTTAAAAACAACCTCATGGTTGAATGAATGAATGAACTAATTAATTTAAAAGTTTTTGGGGTTTTTTTGGTCTTTTTTTTTTTAGCACTTACTATGTGTCAGGCATTGTGCTAAACGCTGGGGAAACATTTAAAAAGTGAAACAGTTCTTCTCAAAAAGCTTATATTCTTAGAGGGAGAAAAAGCACACATAGGGGAATGGTGGATGGGAAAGAGAGTTTTGATCTGAGGAATAAGAAGATAGGGAATTGATCAATCGATAAGACACTTTCCAGAAACAATGGGCACTATTTATTTTGTTACCATGCCCAGAGCCAAAGGTAGAAGGGGAGAATGTGAGAATGTAGATATGTAAGTATGGTGCCAGGCTAGTGGAAAGATGGGATGAAAAGTAAAACATGACTGGAGCAAAACTAACTTGAGTGGTCTAAGTGATAAGCTTCTCTGAACTGAGCGAGGTGGGTCCTCCGAAGACAAAGAGTTGATTACCCTTCAACCTTACAAATTTGAAGTGATCCCAGCTTGAAATATCTACCTGACCTTGTGCTCTGCTAAGAGAGCCTTTGAGAGCCTGTGGTCACCTCCTCTTCAAGATGAGACATCAGACGTTAGTATATAGATGCTGAGTTTTTCAAATGATTGCCCTTTGATTCATACCTTAAACTATTATGTCTCAAATACTGCCTGGCCTTTGTCTACATAGCTAAGGCTATCTAAATTCTCTTTCACCTATGATTAATAAACGAGTTTTGTGGACAATACTTAGCATAGTGCCTGGAACATAGCAGGTGCTTAATAAATGCTCATTAACTGAGTGACTGATTGCTTAACAGTGCAGCTTATTCTATTCCCATATATACTTTCTTCCACCAAAAATTCAAGAGTGTGGGATTTTCCTATGTTCTTACAAACTGCTAGTTAACTATTGCCTCAATTTCATTTGGTTGTATGCTTGCTTTGGAGGGATGAAAGGAAGCAATGTTGGGTTTGCAAAACTGAATATTCCTGCTCTTTCCAAACAGTATTGAAAATTCCCAATGAATTTCAGACAAGCTGGATGATATATAGTAGAGAATTTCCCCCCATTCATTTGAATAAAAAGCACTCCTTTTTTAATGTTTATATGATTCCTTGGACTACCAGAATTCATCCTCATCGTTCAGGTAACTTATTTTGTGATTGTGTTTGGTTTGGAGGGAGAAAGGAGACTGTACATGTGTACTTCACATTCTCATCATTTTCTGAATTCTTTTAGCACTAATTATCTATATCACCCATGATCACCCATGATCACACATGGCTATTGCTCATTTGACTTTGGGGAATCATGGAGAAAAGGAAAAAAGTAGAAGAGTAGGAAGACTGGCAATGGGCAGGTGTCCTCATTTTCAAAAATGGAAAAAAGGTAGACTCCTGAAACTACAAATTGACAAGGTTGTTAACTACCAGAAAAATGTAGAATATATGATTTATTTTTCTTAAATTTTATTTTTTCCTAATTACATGTAAGAACAATTCAAACATTCATTTTAAAGAATTTTGAGTTCCAAATTCTCTCTCCCTTCCCTCTCCTCTCCTTGAAAAAACAAGCAATTTGGTATAGATTAAACATGTGTAGCGATGCCAAACATATTAGCCATATTGCAAAAGACATCAGACCAAAAAAAAAAAAACCCAAGAAAAAGAAAGTTTTTTAAAAGCATACTGCGATCTGCATTCAGACTCCATTAGTTCTTTCTCTGGAGATGGTTAGCATTTTTCATCATAAGTCTTCTGGAATTGTCTTGGATCATTGTATTGCTGAGAATAGCTGTCATTCCCAATTGATCATTTTACAATATTGCTGTTACTATGTACGATGTTCTTCTGGTTCTGCTCAGTTCAAATAAATCTTCCCAGGTTTTTCTGAAACCATCCAGTTCATCATTTCTTATAGCACAATAGTATTCCATCAGAATCATATACCACAGCTAGTTCAATCATTACCCAATTGATGGACATACCTTCAATTTTCAACTTTTTGCCACCAAAAAAGAGAGCTGTTATAAGTATTTTTGTATAGATAGAATCTTTTCCTTTTTTTAAAAAAAAAATTCTTTGGGATGTAGGCCCAGTAGTAGTATTGTTGTGTCAAAGAGTATGCACAGTTTTATAGCCCTTTGGGTATAGTTCCAAATTGCTTTCCAGAGTGGTTGGACCAGTTCACAACTCCACCAACAATGCATTAGTGTCCCAATTTTTCAACACCCATTTCAACATTTATCATTTACCTTTTCTGTCATATTAGCCAAGCTAATAGATGTGAGGTGGTACCTCAGAATTGTTTTAATTTGCATTTCTCTAATCAATGGTGATTTAGAGCATTTTTTTCATATTACTATAGATAGCTTTGATTTCTTCTTTTCAAAAATGCCTGTTTATATCCTTTGACCATTTATCAACTAAGGAATGACTCATACAATACAAGATTTATGAACACTTAGAGCTGACTTCCAGAAGTTCACTAAAAACAAACCAGCCAAATTAATTTGGGGGGGCGGGTATAGAGTTATTAGACTGGTAGATCAAGGGAATGTTACATCCATGGTATATCTGGATTTCAGCAAGACATTTGATCAAGTCTCTCAAATGAACAAGATATTAGCTAGAGGACATTACAGAGCTGAGTGAGTGACCAGATTCAAAGGGTATATTGAGTAATAGATTGAACTCATTCATTCCTGCTCCATTGACTAGGCCCATTGCTTTTTCCTGGCTTCTCTCCTTGTTCAGAGGCTCCTGGCATCGGTATTGCTAGCATATGTCTGCTTCCCTTTACAGTTTCCTAATTTCCTATAGCTCCTTCTCCAAACTCTGTAATCACCTTCCTTTTCTCAGGTCAAGAATTTCCTAGCCAATTGCCTAGCCTTTTCAAGCTCCTGCATTTGGAAGTCCTCTTGTCTCAAAGTTCTTAATAGGCTATGACTATTATAGCCCATTTGTCTTTTGGTTCCTATGGCTCTGTGTCAACACCTAAGGTCTTGGTCTTCCTTTGAATTATAAGTAAGGAGGGAGGTCTTTAGTGTTTTGTCATAGGGCTCTGTCTTCAGCCATATCCTATTCAACACTTTAACCAATGACTTGAATGTAGAAAACATAACAGACTTATAGATGCTATATCTATGGCCAAGGGTCCTCCTCCCAAAGGGAGATCCTGCTCTTTTTTTTTTAAGGCAATTGGGGTTAAGTCACTTGCCCAGGGTCACACAGCTAGTAAGTGTCAAGTGTTTGGTCTAAGGCCGGATTTGAACTCAGGTCCTCCTGATTTCAGGGCCGGTGCTCTATCCACTGCGCCACCTAGATGCCCCTATAAAACACTTTCTTTTCTTTTCTCTCTCTCGCTCTCTTTTTTTTTTTTTTTGGTTAGGCAATTGAGGTTAAGTGACTTGCCCAGAGTCACACAGGTAGTGAGTGTTATGTGTCTGAGGTCGGACTTGAACTCAGGTCCTCTTGATTTCAGGGCCCATACTCTACCCATTGCACCACCTAACTGCCCGAGATCCTGCTCTTGACCAACATAGACAAGTTCATGGGGCGGGAGGAACTGACTCCTTAAAGGTCAGGCTTTTCTCTTTCTCTCTAGCATGTTATGCCCATAACCTGGAGTGGTAGTGGAGGGGGGAATCTTTAAAACAAAGCCTTGGTATGGCCCTGTCTAGGGTCACCCCAAAAGGAAATTAGTAAATTCCTTTCTAGGTACTCAATGTAGAAAGTAAGTGCCAGGTAAAGGATAGCTATTTTTTTCCTCTACCACAAAAGACTCATAAGCATTAATTAACAAATACTTTAAAACACTAACTCATCCCTTTACCATACTTTTCCTAAAATATACTTTGTAGGCTTGCTAAAAAGACATTTCACTTTTACTTCAGTCAGATTTGCACTGCTAGAGTCACTAACGAAATCCAGATCTTGTGGTAAGCCAGATACAGCCAGTTAAGTCTTTCAGGTCCAGGATGGTCCTATTGTCTACCATCTTCTCCCATAAGCAGTGCAGTTGTAATAATCACCTCCTACTTGACCCTCAGCACCAAATTCCAGGCCAATTGCTAGTAGAAGATATGTCCTCAGGAAAGAAACATAAAGACAGAAGAAGGCAGCCAGATTCAAAGATTATTGCATTAGCTACCTAGATAAGAGATATCATTTCTCTCTCTTTCCTAAGAGTTCCCACTCTTGGAGCTTTGGACTGTTTACCTTAACTGGTATATGGCTGATCACCCCTTTGCTGAAGATTTTGGTACTTCAATATCTGAAAGACCATAGTCACAACCAAAACTAATCTTTGAAATTTTTTTGGCCTGAAAAAAAAATTCTCCAGCTGCATGCAGCACAGGATATTGCTCTTTTAAAAGATGACTATTTAGGAAATTCATGGTTTTTCTCCTATGCTCACATTCCCTTAAAACTCTCCAAAATAGGAACTGCATATAAGAAAAAGGGGGTTTTAGCTATCTCCCTAGCCTAGGACACCAAGAACCCTAACAAGATAAATAATTCAATGAATCAATAGCAGAGAAAGCTAAACTATAACCCCTTACTCTCAGCAACTCCCTTCCTCCACTGCCCATCATTCAGGGCAGGGTTGCACAAGCTGATCGATGAGGTTGCAATAGAACACAATTTTATTGCTCCTTCCTCCCAGTACTAGGGCAAACCAAAAAGCAGAAACTTGGACATCAGTGTGGTGCTGGGTCAAAGAACTAAGGAATAGAAGGAACTGGGACAGAATTGTGTGTGTATCACCATATGGCACATCACTAAACCTTAGGGAAAGAACATACCATACAGCCACGGCCACTTCTATTAACCACTCCGTCCCTAAGTCACTTGGAGCAGAAAGGTCGGTGAAACATGGTGGCTTTAAGTTATAGTCCTTCAGAAAACCAAAATCAAAGGAGAAGGAGCCAGAAAGTGAGTAATAAGAGAAAATAAGGTAAAAAGACCAAAATGACCACAGATCTTAAGAGGAAAAAAAAACTCATTTAAAGATCTTGAACCTAAGTAGATAACCAACATGGAAGATAATAGTAACAGAAGGGAATATGACTTCTAGGTCAGCTAAAAGAGTCCAAGCATCTACAGATAAGTATCACAAGATAAAGGAAAATGAATCAATACTTGATGAGATAGAGGAACTTGTAGATTTTCAAAAGAGCATGGAATTAAAACAGAATGTTCCTGAATAATTTATAAAAGAAATAAAAATAATTAAAGCAGAATTTTTGACCTGTACAGCAGTAATAATTGACAGACTGAAAAAACTGGAATCCATGGGGGCAAGTCTCACCTAAGAAACAGAAGAGAAAATAATTGATTGGGAATGTAAATATATAGAAATAAAGGACAATCTGGAAAAAGAGAAGCAAAAAGCAATAATGTTACAAGAAAACATGATATACCTATAAGCAAAACATTGATCTTAAAGACAGGATGTGTAAAGACAATTTAAGAATTACAAAACTCCCAGAAGAACACAGGTAAAACCCAAACATCATAATGCAAGAAATAATATAAGAAAACTCTTGAAAACTTCTGAAAACAGAAAACAAAGTGACAATCGAAAGAACCCACATATCGCCTGGGGTTGGGTGGGGGAACAACCCTATCTCAGAAACTCCAAGACACATAAGAATTGAATTTAACAATTTAAATGACAAATAATTTCTGCTAGGGAACAGGAGAAAGATCTTTAAACATGAAGGAAAGGAAATTTGAATAACACAAGACTATTCTGCATCCACCAGAAATAGTCTGAGGGAGTGGAATAATGTGAGCAAAGGAACTCAAAATGCAACCTAAATGATGGACCCTATAAACTTCAGCCTAACCATCAATGAACAAAGGTGAACATTTGATAAAAAAGAAATGTTCAAAACACTTCTAGAAAGAATACCAGACCTATACAAGTTATTTGACTCTGAAACACCCCGGAAAACAGAAATACAAGAATGGTAAACAAATACATAAATCAAGGAGAGCAACAAAATAATAACATAGAGATCATTGGTTTCTTACAAAAAATAAACAAGGGAGAAAGGGGGAAAGTAGAAGCCAAATAGAAATGATGGTGAAGAAACAAGCCTGAAACGTCATAGACTAAACTTCACGACATCCTGCCTGTAAGTAAATTAATGTTTTGTGGCACTAAACTAAAAAAGGGGAGGGTACATAAAAGGAGAGAGTGAAAGAAGAAGGTAGAGAGGAATATGTGATAACCCTAATCAAGTCCAAGGTTAACAATGAAGGGAAAATAATTCCTGTGGTTTCTCTGAAAGAAGAGAGCTTATAGGAGAATGGACCAGGAGGCAAAAGAAGGGATGGAAACAAGAACGAGAGGAAATTTTGTTTCAGTGATGGGAGTGGGGACCACTGAAGAACAATCCCATGGGGAAAGAGATATTTTATAAAGGAAGGTAGGAACCTTACAATGGGATTAGGTGGTTAGATCATTCATCTTGTATCCAAGAAAAGGGGAATCAGAGCTCCTGGGGGCAACTGACACACAGAAGAGCAGGGAGGAGATTGTATGGCAAATGGGAAAAAATTACCATGGGGAAAGCAAAGGTTAACGATAAACTGTACAAACAGGAAAATTCCTACCACAAGACAATAATCTCTGTTTCACTTTGTATTTCTCAGAGTGAGGCACAGTAGAAGAAGGGAGCCAGGGAGCAGGTTCTACAAGGTAATAACAGGAACTATAAAGAAGAGGGAACCCAAAATAGAAACTTTAATTCTGTAAGAAATACAGAAACTAAAGAAAGACTAAATAAATATGAGTGCCATGAATCAAAAAATCAAAGTCTAGTGTAGTCAGAAAGAGAAGACAAATAAATGAAGAAAATGAGGAACTGTGTAAAATGAAAATGAGTGGGAAAAGCATGAAAAACAAAGTTTTGAAAACAAATAAAATAAGTTGAAGGTAAGGAGAGGAAAGAAAATTCTACTTAACTAAGAGGCAAAAGAAGAAGGGAAGAATTAAATAATTAGATAAATGGAGGAAATTTGAAAGAACCTGTAAGTGAAGTAAAACTCTGAAACTAGGAAAGGGGGTAACAAATGGAAGAGAGGAAGGGTTGGGATAAGAGGAAGAGAGACAGTGGGAATTGGATTGCCTTAAAATAGGGTAAAATAATTGAAGAGACAAAGCTAAAAGAATATTCAGTTCTCATGGCTGCCCCATGACAACATAATAAAACTGAGAATACAGGTACTACTGAAGTTAATTTACAGTTTTAATGCTATGTCAGATTATTAAAAGGATACTTAAAAGATTTTGATAAAATAACTAAATTTATTTGAAAAATGAAAGATCTAGAATATCAAAGGAAATTATGAAAAGTAGGGACAAAGGGATAATAAAGCACTTGCAGACCTCAAACTGTATTATAAAGCAGCAGTTATCAAAATCATCTGGTATTGATCTTAAAGAGAGACAGAGAGAGAGAGAGAGAAGATCAATGAACTAGAGGAGGGACAATAAAAACAATGAAAATCAATAAGCAAAAATTCAATAAACCAGAAAATATAAATTACTTCTAAGAGAATTTCCTATTTGATTAAAAAAAAATCCAGGAAAACCAGAAAGCAGTTTGGTAGAAATTAGGCTTAGACTAATACCTTAGATATATTCCATGATACATTCTAAATAGATACATGATATTAGTATTAAAGATCAGACTATAAAAAAATTAAAAAGATAAGCAGATCATATACCTTTCCTAGCAATGAATAGGAGGTGTATTCCTAAAGAAACAAGGGATAGAAGCAATTACAGAAGATAAACAATCTGATTACATGAAAATAAAGGGCTTCTCCACAAACAAAATTAATACAACTAGGATAGAAAGGGAAGCAGTGAAACACAAAAAAAAATCTGTGTCAGATTTCTCTTATAAGGGTTTAGTATCTCAGATATCTAGCTAGCTAGCTACGCATATATACACACACATAAAGAGAGTTTGTGTGTGTATTTATACATGTGTTTTTAAATGTTTAAATAAAGATTAAAAAGTGATTCTCTCCCATCTTTCCCGTTCCCTGCCCAGACACCCCCAATCCCCTTGAAATGGTTTCATTGTCTGAGTCTTAGAGAAAGGACCAAGAAATATATCCAGAGTTGTTTGGATCACTAGGCATAGTAGAACATAAGCTTCTTTTTCAAAAAAATCCATTTATATATATATATATATATATATATATACACATATATATTACATACATATATGACCAAAAATCATTCCCAATAGGTAAGTGATATGAAGAAATAGAATTTCTTCAAAAGAAGAATTAACAAACTATTAATAACCATATAAAAGAATTCTTTAAATTGTTAGGGCCCAGCTCTGGACCGTGGCCTCCTGTGGGGTAGTAAGA